TATTTTGGGACTACGGATGCGGAATTCCGGTAGATCCCCCTGCACAGTTATATGGAACTACGGGAATGCACCCGGTAGATTTCCCCAATACTGGGTATTTACATTTGGGACTACGGAACGGGATTCTGGTAGATCCCCGTGCACTATGAGTTGGACTACGGGACGGGATCCCGGGATAATCCATTGGATATGTACATATGGGACTACAGGACGGTATCCTGGGAAATCCCCGGTTGTTATTTTGGTGCTAAGTCGAATTTCTTTCCATGTTTTGCCTTGTCTCAGTAATAGTTGTTTTTGCCCTTTTATATCATGTGTTACTTTTACTGCTGTATTTATTTATACGGTTCCGTTCTACACTGTCAAACTTTATACTTTATTTAACCTCAGTAGGGCCCTAACCTTCCTCGTCACTACCCGATCGAGGTTAGGCTTGGCACTTGCTGAGTACCGCTGTGGTGTACTCATGCCCCTTTTGCGCATGTTTTTCGTGTGCAAATCCAGGTACTGCGACTCAGTCCTATCACCCTTGAGGCGAGACGACTACTCCAACGACTTCGAGGTATATCTGTCGCGTCCGCAGACCGAGGAGTCCCTTTCTATTCTAGCTTTTAAACATTTGCCCTTCTGTATTTCTTTTCCTTGTTAGATATTCTGGAGTTAGAGTACTGTGTAGTGATCCTTAACTTGTGATTCATGGGTTTTCGGGTTTTGGAAGTATGTATTGGTTTGAGAGTTAAATATTGTGTATGCCGAGCGGCACTTTTAAACATTGTTTTGTGACTCTTCATTATGTTTTAATTTGTTTTTATTCCACACTTTGGTTATCTTCCGCAATTTAAGCTTACCTAGTCGTAGAGGACTAGGTGCCATCACGATATTTCACGGAGGGCGAACCGAGGTCGTGACAACATCAAAATCAAATATTTTATGGCACTTATACATGAGTCAAAAACTGAGCCTAGGCATCACAACTAAGACACTCACTACTCTCAAGGCATCACAAAGTCAAGAAAGGTCATCTCCATTTAATACCACAACACAAGACTTCACTATTCCTAATAAAAGAAAAACTAACTACACCTGGTTCAAACAAAATCCTTGGAAAAGAACTGCAACACAAAGAAAAACCAAAGGTGAATTGTCAAACTACCTCGAAAAAACATAATATATTTTTTCCTTTGACTTTGATCCCTCAAGAAGACAGTCGAGGAAATCCATCATCGGAAAAAGACAATTTTTTTCAAACAAAACACAAGAAAATAAACATATATGTACATATTTATATCCCCCACCCTACACTTTAAATTGTGGCATGTACCCGTGACACACAAATAAAAAGCAAGAGATAAAGAAAACTCCCGTGATTTATCTAGTCGGGGTGTGAATCGAAGTCGGGATTTCCTTTGCACGCCCGACCCAGTACACATTTACATGCTAAGAGTTTTTTTCTGCCTTCTTTGGGTACACCCCACACTTATTATGCTTACTCTCTCCAGTTCGTTCCTTTAGGTCCCCCATTGCTCCTTCCATCTTGAAGATCACCTTTTCTTCCCCCACTATGAGCATGAGCTACCTTTCTTGAATGTCCATAATTGCTCTGCCAGTAGCCAAGAAGGATCTTCCTAGTATAAGAAGGACTTCCCTATTTTCTTCCATGTTCACCACGATAAAGTCCACAGGGAACACAAATTTGTCCACCCGAACTAGCACATCTTCCATTATTCCTTCAGGTATCATTGTGGTTTGATCCGCCAGCTGCAAGGACATAGGTATAGATCTGATTTCTCCAATTTTCCCCTCCAATTTACTGGAAATAGATAAAGGCATAAGATTAATAGAAGCACTTGAATCACACAAATATTTTTCAAACATAGTACTTCCTCAAGAGCAAGGTGTAGTAAAACTCTATGGATCTCCACACTTTTTACGGAGCTTATTTTGCAAAATGGTACTACAATACTCTGTGAGCTTGACCATCGACGTCTCTTCCACCTTTCGCTTGTTGGACAATATCTCATTCAGGAACTTAGCATAAGTTGGCATCAGTGAAAACACCTCTGTGAAAGGTATATTCACATGCACGTACTTGAGCACTTCTAGAAAATGCCCAAATTGTTCGTCCAGTTTCTCCCTTCTTTTCTTTTGAGGGAAAGGTAGAGTAGGTATATATTTACTTTCTTCGATCTCATCATTATTTCTTTGTTTTTCTTTCTTCTTCCTTGTTGGAATTTCAGATTTGTTGTTCTTCTTCAAATCATTCTCTTGCTCTGCCCTCACTTCATTCCTACTATGCTTATCACTTTTCTGCTCTCCTTCATTCTTAACTTGATTTTCCGTCAGCTCATTCTTCTCTTCTACCCATAGATCTTGCAATACTTTGCCATTCCTTAAAGACACTGCATTTATAGTTTTTTTTGGATTCCTTTCGGTATCCGCATGGAGGGTTCCTAGAGACCTCTCGAATAACAGACTAGAAATCTGTTCCACTTACCTCTCTAAGTTTCGAATATCTGCACTATGCGTTTCTAATCTCTCATCTGTCTTAATAATGAAAGCATTCATTAGATCTTCCATGCTAGACCGATTAGACTGTAGAGGTTGGTATTGCTGCCTCTACTGATTCTGAAATCCTAGAGCTCCATGTCCCTGGGGTCTCAGATTATTCTACTGAAATGAGTTCAGACTACCATTTGGTAAAATCCAAGAAAAGTCTGGGTGCCTCTGTACCATAGAGTTAAAATTATTACCACTATGGTAGTTGCCTTTGTCAAAGCTTTCCACAATATTTACCACTTCATTTGCAGCTGAGGTTTGACACTTATGTGTTGGATGACCCATTCCACAGAAGTCACAACCTGATGACGGTTGGCTCTGGATCTTGACTAAGGTCAACTTTCAATCCCATTATGCTGACACTTTCTCACTATCTCCTTGAATCTTTCCCAAACCTCGAAAACTATTTCAGTGTCCTTCTGGTAGAAGTTATGAATTTCCCTTCTGAATTATACTATTTTTACAACTGAGAAGTATTTATCAAGGAACTTTTTAGTCATATCTTCCCATGTCCTGATCGACCCAGTTGCAGTGCTTCACGTCATCCTTCAGTGAAAAAGGGAATGCCCTTAAGTAGACTACATCTTTTAACATTCCGTTGTAGTGGAAGGTGTTCGTGAATTTCTCAAAATTAAGATCTTCAATCATCTTCCTTCTAAAGACACAGTTATTCTGGATAGTTTGAAGCAAACCTAGCTTCAACTCAAAATTATTTGCTGCTACGAGTAGAGGTCTGACACTAGACAGTCCCTGATTGTAGACTGGTCTGGCATAATCACCCAATGCTCCTGGGTACCATATTTTCGAATTGGTCTTCAACTAAGGATCGATTTAGATTGAATCTGTGACCTCCATCATCTTCAATAGTCTCATTAGCAACTCTACGGGCTACCTTAGATGCTGTTTGTGTAGCTTCTTCTCTATGTTATGCTGCCTCTCTTACAGCTAAATCTACCCCATCATCACCGTTATTATCCATGTGTTCTTGGGTTGAACATTTCCCTAAGAACTTTTCGGTGAGTTCTTTCTCTTTCCTCAACTGTCGTAGACTTTTTTTCACCTCTGGATTGTATAGAATCAATTTTTTTTTAAAGAAGATCGAGTCATACACCAGAGAAGTCAACCTGTTGCTTGCATATGGAATAAAAAACCCGTGAAGAATAAAATAAAATAGGTTCCTGAATTAGCACCAAAAACTATTTTGAACAGTGTAGATTGCCAATCCCCGGAAACGACGCCAAAATCTTACGAGCGCAAAACACAATACAAAATTTATGCTCGCTAGCCAAAGATAGCATAGTATGATTATCGTCTCCACTGGGATTGGATATAAATAATGCTCTAGTAATTCTTGGTTTAGTTGCTATTCAGGGTGATCAAAACTTGATTGGAATGATTACAAACCACGAATAACTACTAAAATAAAGCAATTGACAATTGACAGTAAAGAACTAGAGATTAGCAAAGTTGATTTCTTTTTATCAATATGACAAATAAGGGTTTTTACATGATAGGTGCAAGATTGTTATTCTGGATATGATACTATTATATTTCATTCTTGAGGTTCTATCGATTCTCACGAATTCAGTAGGTGATTAGCTTATACTTTTGATTCATACTCTTCTCTCAATTAAATTTAAATCTTTCAAATAAACTAATGTGAAGTGTGGTGAAACTTGCAAGAATTTGTTGGTAGGAATGATCTAAGAGAAACTTCTCGCGAATATTTCTCAATCTTAATTTAAACGGCAACTCAAAAAGCTCTCTCGATTACTTCAAATAATTACCAAAATAAACTAAGGCATATGCTGCAATAATATTCAATAAAATGTTCCTCTTTCGATTAAACACTATAAAGAATAAAATTATAACTATATTAAAGCTCCTGCAATAAATCCAAGCAATTAAGCAGTAGTCAAATTCATAAACAACAACCAAGTCACCAAATCATGTCAAACCTTAATGTAAACTGCTCCATAATTATGGAGGAAGATATCACAAATATAATTAAAGAGTGAGAAAGCATCAATCTAACGCTACAATCCAAACTCCCATATTGAATTGATGGAAATATGATGAAATTCTGTGTCTTGTTGCCTCCAATGCTCTCCCAAATCTTTCAAGGTCAAAAGTCCTCTAAAATCATATTTTTGGTATATTTATACTATGTAGGAACGAATCCGGACGAAACTATTCTTTCCAAGCTAAAGTAGGAGAAATACTTTGTGAAATTTGCACATGCGCGACGCATGGTGCATTGCCCCACACAGTGCGCATGTGGAGAAGTTTAGAGATTTGATTTTTACACTCTGCAAGAATTTTGCACTAGCGCCCCGCGGCGCATGATGCGGTGTGGTAGTGCATTTTTTTAGAGTAATCTTTTTTCTCACTTTTTGACTTCCAGACTTGGTCCTCGACCCCCGTACGTGGCCTCGACTTAATTTCTTGGGAATCTACTTAGACTTCAAAGCTCCAAATCATCTATTTTAGCTCCAAACTTGTTTCTCCACTCGAAATCACATCCTACACAGCATAACACACGTAATAAGTACAAAGTATTAGCAATTAGGCTCAAATACAATCAAAGTGTAGTAATTAGAGTGCAAATATAGTTAAAAACGTGAGTTCCTAGCCTACCATCAAGGGGTGGGAAGATGAGGAAGATGTTGTGGTGGTATACTTGGAGCATATATGATGAAGATTTTAAGGATCAACTAAAGAAATTTGGTTCTTTGTTTGAACAAGTTGTCAAAGACTTACTGTGGTTTCTACCTCAAAGTTGGTGTAGAACATACTTTGATACAAAATGTAAGAATAATATGGTGGATAACAGTTTCATAGAATCCTTTAATTCTTGGATTCTGTAAGCTAGGTCAAAATCTATCATAAAGATGCTGGAGGATATTAGGATCAAGGTGATAAAAAATCTATCATTAATATTCAGTTATGTAAATTGAGTTAAATGTTATTACGTAACTGTTTTTCAAAGGTAATGAAAATGATCAGGGAGCATGAAGATGAACCTGGAAATTAGAAGAAGATATCAGTCCACTTGCAATGTGGTTGTTTAAGGACTACAAGCACATTACATAAGGATGCAACGTTGAATTCAGTGGAGATAATGGGTATGAAGTAACAGAGGGTGTAGATAGGCACACAATCAACTTATTCTTAGGACATGGGACTTGTCTGGGATCCTATGTCCTCATGCAATCAAAGCACTGATTCATAAAAAAGTTGATCCACTGACTGGGGTACATTGGTGGTACTTTAAGGAGGTTTATATGCTGGTTTATAAGCATAAAGCGCAACCTGTTGGAGGTGAATTTTTTTAAAAAGTGAAGCCACTTCATGCCATGGATCCACCACCTTTATCTAAAATAATTGGTAGACCAAAAGTGAATATAACAAGAAAAAAGGATGAGGCTAGGAAAAGGGAGGGGATATGGTCAACTTCAAAAAAAGGGCTTCGCATGACCTGTGGTTATTGTAGTGCACTAAGATATAATATCAGAAGATGTACACTAGTAAGATAATTTTATATTCCCATTCTAAATTAATAAGAACGTATTTTAAATACCTAACTTAAATTTCAAATCATGTAAGTTAAAGGAAAGCACAATCTGTCTTCTCATGAAGAAATTTCTCAATCACTAAAAGATATTCACATGACATCACCTCAAGATTCCCAAGATTCAGAATTTGTGTTCATTCCTGTTCCTGGATAAAATATATCTTCTAATCAGTCTTATAGTCATTAAAGTCAACTTGAATCTGATTCGACCTTTCAGTCTGAAGCTAACGTGCAATTTTATGATGTTAACGAGATTAGGTGTGAATCTGATCCGACTCTAATGCCCAAGGTGATCTCTGAAGCCAACACTAGGCTTAAAAAAAGGCAACTGCTGCAAAATCCTACTGGTGCCAGGAATATCATTTTCATGGGAGATAAAAATGGTGTATATTTACCTACTAATCTACCATATTCCCCAAGAAATATCACTTGGAAAGGAAAAGCAACAATGACCTCAAACCAATTGGTAGAAGAAAGGAAAGAAGAATTACCAAACTGAAAGCTAAAAGGGCCATACTTCAGGACAATTAGAAGTTAAATTATTTTGTTGTTTACGATGATGTTATGTAATATCAATAGATATGTAAACTGATTATCTTTTGTTGTTTCTGTAATGAATATTCAGTTATGCCAGTGGTTTTACTGATTTTAAACAAAAATATGTTTATGTGTCTAATCAGTTATGGCAATAACTTTAATTTGCTTTTGTGTCAAGTAAGTAAAAATGAGGACGAAGGAATGGGTGTGTGTGTTTAAGCTGACTTACCGCGTGTTATTAGGTTTTAGTTGGGTTATTAGCGGGTCGGTTCAGGTATCTTTTTAAAGATGGATTTTAATTTTGTTTATTGTTTAATACACATGGTATACTTATAATGTGCCACGTGGAAATTTAATGTGTAAATTTGACCATGACTGATCTGTTAAATCTCATGGGCAGACTTGAACCTAAAAAAAACGTTGAGGGTATTTCTGGTCCCAAAGGTTAACATAGGGAATTTTTGAGCCATTTTCAATACGTTAGGGACATTTTTGGCTTTTTTGGTATTTGACCGTTGGCAATGGTCAGCTCTAATTTTGACTGTTGTGGTGTTACCCAACGCCTGATTTGCAAAAATAGCCCTTTTGGGCTTTATTAAAATAATAATACCTTTATTATTTACTAATCCAACCATTGGAAAAACTATAAATAGACCTCTCCTCCCCTCTCCCCCTCTTCTTCATTTTTTCACTTATCTCTCAAGTCACAATTCTCAATTGTCGTTCTTTCATTCCTCTCCTAAATTGCTATCAACTATTTGGCTCTCATTTTTTTTTTAATTTTGTTTATGGTGTTATTTGAACTTTGAAGAACTGAAGCTTAAAAAATTGGAGTAGTAACGACTAACAAGCAAGTTCATTTGTGATAACATCGGAGTTGTGAAATTCAATTTCAAGACTTCAAAATTCA